CTCTCTCTCTCTCTCTCTCTCTCTCTCTCTCTCTCTCTCTCTCTCTCTCTCTCTCTCTCTCTCTCTCTCTCTCTCTCTCTCTCTCTCTCTCTCTCTCTCTCAGTCTCTCTTCTTCCTACGCATCGAAGATGGAAGAAAAAAAATGATATCTCTGAACAGATTCTCTGAGCCCCGACAAGACGAGCGCGAAAGGGGATCTCAAGTTTAACGTAAGAAATCAACGGGACGAAGCGCGGAAGAAAGAGGCGCCGTCGCTCGAATCTTTGAAGGAGACGATATTAGAATTGAAGAAAAATCTGAAGGAGGCGGACAAGAAGCAACACGACAATATAAAAAATGAGGATACCGAGGAGAACGAGAGCGACAACAAGCTGGAGCACAAAGATCGTACGACTCGCGCGAAGAACAAGCATCGAAAAACCGAGAACGACGATGACAGTGAGAGCGAAAACCAAATTCATTTCGAGATAGGTCTAGTCTACGCTACGCTCTTAAACTCTTAATTCTTCGTTCTGATCAGCGAGCTCCGATTGGTGGGAGGCGTCGAACGGTGGGATGGAGAAGTTCGACTTGAAAAAGCGGGAACAGGATATGGAGGAGAGGGAGAACGAGAAGAACGTAAACGGCCACCTGAAAGTGTGGAGGACGAAGAGGACCGAGGTGAACAACGAGGACGGTAACGCGAAACTGTTTCACAGATCGGGGTTTGGGGACCCGTACCTTGAAGAGAACAGCCTGAAAGAGGTTGTTCACGACCGCAAGAGGCGTAGCAAGGGGACGCCGTCGGACGAGAAGTGTTACGCGAACGAGGCGGCTCTGCCCTCGGCCCAACAGCTCAACGAGAACGAGAGGATCGACGAGAAAAATCTGATCGAGTTATCGAAGACGCAGACCAACGACGCGGCCAACGCGTTCGAGAAGATCGAAACGAACGATTTGGGGGGCGTGGACGCGTTCGGCCGCGTGGGGAGCAAATTGACGAGCGACACGGGGGGGAACAAGATCGACGAGGCGGGTTCCAAGGCGAGGGAGGCGCGAAAAGAGGAGGGGAAGGACGGGGGGAAGGTAGCCGGTGGAAATTACCAAGATCTGTCGCAGGATCTGTCGCAGGATAAATCGATCGGCGTGGAGAGCAGCAAGTTGACCGGCAAGGGCAAGCAAGAGAAGGAGGAAAGTCTCGTGGGAGGGAACACTTTGCAAATCACCTCCGAATCTATGAGCAACAACGAGTTGCCATCGGTTCCTGCCGCCGTTGCAGCCGCTGCCCTTTCCCCCTCCTCCTCCTCTTCTTTTTCTTCGTCGTCCTCTTCCCCCTCATCGAGCGAGATCGCCTCTTCGTCGAGTCGAGACAAGGAGGAGGAGGAGGAGCGGAAGAAGGAAGTGGTTCGCGGGGCAACGACGGGCAACGAGGGGCAAAAATTGTCGGCCGAGCAAGAGTCGGCCGAGCAAGGGAAGAGATCGGCGGACGGGACGGGGGGGAACGTTAATCTCCACCTCGAGTCGGAGAACAAGAACTTTATCCAGTACAGCAACGAGAACGTGAAGGAGGGTAAACGCCAGGCGCCGTTCATGCTCGATATGTTCAACGTGAAGAAGACGTTGCTCGAGAAGGAGGATAAACCAGGGAAATCGATCTCGACGATTTTCAACATGAAACTGGCTAAAGCGGAGGTGGACACGGCCGCGGTGAAAGATTGCACGAAAAGGGGGGGGACGAGAAAGAGGTGGAGATCCCGATTACTAATGGGATCCTCGAATTCGAGAAGAATAAAGTTAAGGAAGTGCCGTACGAAGACACGGGGGGTCTCGCGCCGCTATCCTCCAACATCATGGAGAGGAACACGGTGGATGAGAAACGACTTAAGAACTCCGGGGTGGAGTTCGACAAAAGATCGGGACAAAGCGGGATGAACGAGGAAGGGATTCGAAATTGGTTGGAAGGCGATCATAATCGAATGGACGGGAGCGCGAGTATGGCCGAGAAACGAAGCGACGCGTCGGACGGGAAGGTGGTCGGTGGTAAATTTAAGAACGAGGAGGAGTGTTTGAACGATAACGCGGTGGATAATAATAATAATAATAATGGTAATAACAATTTCGTGGATAAAAGCCGCGGGAACGTTGGCAAGGAGAAGGAGTTGGGCTTGATGGCGAAACAGAATCTCCAATCTGCGGAGGTTAAGGAGAAAGGGGGCGAGATCGAGGGTGAGAGGAAACGGAAGAAGAAACATCAGGGGGGGGGATTCGTTCAGGCCGAAATGAACGATCAAATGGCGTCGAACGAAAGGGTATATCCAGGGCAGAGGAAAATCCTTCAATACATGGAATATTCCAACGACGAAGTGGAGGACGCTGATTCGAATTACAACGACAGGGAGGAGGAGGAGAATCAGCGACAATCGGTCAATGCAGGTAAGAGGAGGGTAGTGGTGGAGAGAGTGAGAGAGAGCGAGAGAGAGAGAGCGGAGAGAATAAAGAGACGACGACGATGACGATGATTTTCTTTTTCTTTTTTTTTTTTTTCCCCTTTTCCCTTTCTTTCCTTTTTTTCCAGAAAAAAGCGACGTATCGGCGCGTAGGAAAGAAAGATCTACGGTCAGCGATAAAAAGAAAGCGAAGGTAAATGTGATGATAAAAAGCAAGATGAGCAAACGAAAGAAAACCGACAAGAGTAGGAAAAGGCGTAATCCGAACGTAATCGAGTATTACGAATACGATAACGATATGGATCAAGAGAACGACGAATTGTCACCGTCCAACGAACAAGAACGAGTGAAAAATAATTATCAAGACAAAAACCCTATAGAATTTGATGCGGGACTTGGTAATGATGCGTGCACTTCTCCATCCTCGAAAACCTAACGTGAAAACTGCTAAAAATCTTGCGTAGTAAAGTTTCGTCAAATTTTGTATTCGCAACCTGTTCAAGTCGCCTGCTGTTCGATGCGCCTCCGGGTTAGGTGAATTGAATCGTATCGATCGAACTCATATCTGTTTTCAATCGTAGTGGAATACGAGGAAGAGAAAGAGTGTGTACCACCCAAAACGGACAAGAAAGTGGACTTGCACGAAATAGAAATGGAAAAAAAGGAACGGGAGCAGGAAAGGAAGAAGAAACCGACAGAGCAATTCCTGAGTCCAAGTGGAAAAAATATAACTAAGAAGAATAGCGCATCGTTATTATCGACCAAAGTTAAATTTGCGGATGAGGAGGGATCGTCCGGCGGCCAACAAGCGGGATCAAGGTGAAGGCAACGTGAACAGCATTAGTCGCGAGAGGTCAGTGGTAAATTAATGGAACGAAAATGGTAAAGATCTGTCGAACGGATGACACTGACCTACGTGATCATTGTATTAGTGGTGGTTCACACCTAATTCGAGAAACCTAAATTCGAGTTTCCACACCCACTGATCCTAGTTAAATTAACAGGTTAAAAGAGCCGGTAGAGGAGAACGAGGATACGTTCCTGGATAACGAACTCAACGAGATGGTACTCGATCCTGCCAAATATATTCTCAAGATGGATAAAAATCTGGATGTAGGAATAATAGACGATATATTCGAGGATATCCAATCTTTGGACGAAAAGTATGACATTTCTCTCTCTCTCTCTCTCTCTCTCTATGTTCGTATGTAAGAAAAAAAAACTGTTCATCCAAATCCTAAATATCCATCCATCCATCCATCCATCCATCCATCTAAATACCCATCTGTCCAGAAAAGAAAAGATACCTAACAGCATGGAACCATTGTACGAAGAGTTGAAAAAGATATACGATTGGAACGAGGAGGAGAGCAAGAATAAACCTCGAATCAAGGGAGATCAGAGGATGTACTACGAGACGAACGAGAAACTAGATCCAATTGTGCTCGAACAAAAAGATCAATTGGAGTCGCCGGAAATCCACGCCGATTCATCTGGAACGTATGGTAAAAAAAAAAAAAAAAAAAAAAATGAACGAATCAATTTCGTTTTCGAAAATTCACCTCCTCCTCTTCTTTCGCGAACCGACCGTCACCGTCTCAATTTTGCCGTTCAGCTTCTAGCCCGAACCTATTCCCTCCTATTTCCCTACTCCTTTACGATGGATCGGAAAAACCTAAAATTGGTGAGAATAATTACCCGGGCGTATCATCTGGCGAGCCCATTGCGAGGAACAACGTTTCCCAAAGTAATTATTTAGCTCTTAAAAGCACGGACGATATGTTTAAAGGTGGGCCGGAGCAAAGCCTTAACAGCACCGACGAAAAATTACGAGGACTTGGTCTTATCGGTAAAGTTGTTGAGTGGAAAACGCAAAAGGTAAAAGAAAAAAGAAAAAAAGAAAACAAAAAAAAAAAAAAACAAAATCCGAAAAAAAAAATTAATCGCATATACATTATATATATATATACACACATACACACATATATATATCATACCTCCCTCCCACCCTCTCCCCCTCAAATTCATCTTCCTTCGCACGCAATAAACGTTGAATCGCGCAGGTGAACGGTGCGGAGGACGACGGTGTCCCGGGGAAAGACGTGGCGAGTCGGTCGTTGATGACGGGTCAGAGGCGGCGATATACCGATATAACAGATCCGTTCCCTCGTCACGAGGACGCCAAGTATGCGAGATCGCCTCGATCGGGTTACGATCGGGAGAAACGTATGCGAAATATCATCGATCGCGAGAAACAGATGATCATTAGCTCGAGAGATTTGCACGAGTCGTTCGTCGAGCCTTTGGAGTTGGTGGACGATTCCGACAAGGACATAAGAGTGAGGCTCGGAAGGAGCTTGAAAAGCGTGGACACGGGGATAGCCGGGTACGTTGGATCAATGGCGGTCAATGGTTCCGGCCAGCCGGGGATCGGGGATCGGCCGATCGAGAATACGAGTTCGATCCGATCGGGATTCGCTCTCGCCGCGAATCCCTCCCCTTTCGACCTGGAAAATTTGTTCAAGGGGAGGGTGAAGAGGCAAGCAGCGTCCCTCCCCTACGACGCGTACTACGACGAGATGAATCAACGAGGGGCGAATCCCGATTCCGAAACGATGTACTACAATCGGTATATCAAAAACGAGGAGAACGATCATTTCCAACCGTACGAAAATCGCGACAAGGTGTCGAGCTTGAAGGATCTCGAGTTGGGCAAGTCGAGTGACGCGGACGATTACAATAGGGTATCTAGGAACAAGGATCCCGCGAAGAAGAAGAAACACAACGCTAAGAAGAAGAACAACAACAACAAGAATAATAATAATAATAATAACAGTAACAACAAGTTGAAGAAGAAGAGGAAGAAGGTGCGCAAGAATAAACCTAAGAAAATGCGTAGGAAGCGGAGGCATCACAAGAAGCAGCCCAAGATAAAAGAGCACGAAAAGAAGCGTAAGAAGAGCATGAAGAATCATCGTAACATTAAGAAAGGGAAGGGAATGGATCAGAGCGAGGACGATGATAAATTTCACGAACAGAGGAAACGGCATCACGGTAAAGGAAGGAAGAATGTACGTATTTAAGCGCTCATTTTCTCAATCTGTATGAAATCCGATAAGATATGATTTATAATTTAATTAAAAAGAAAGGTTCGACGATAATATTTCAGACGATGAATTCGATCAACGATATCCAGAGAAGAAAGATCAACACGTTTCTGGTTGCCGATAATATGGAGGATGAATCGCAGATGGATTTGGCTGTTCATGGTGAACTCGCTGGAAAGATCGTGGAACAAATTTTCGATCAGGTATTCTTTTTTTCTTTTTTGGATAATTCTATCAACGCGATTCCTCATATTTCAAAATCATCAGGTACAAAAAAATAAAGATCTGAAGGTATCGTTGGGCCCAGGTCTTTACTACAAGCACAAGGTTAGAGATACCGTGACAGCTGACAAATGTCATCAAAGTTTTAGCAACGATAAAGTGCGTTTTTATTAAAATTTACGGCATCTGGTGGGTGAGTAAAGTAATAAATACGCTTTGAAAAATGTTTTTTTTTTGCAAATTCAAGGAGATAGACGAAATGATGAACAAGATCGTCTCGCTTCTGAATCAACTAATTTTCGAGGAGGTGCAGAAAAAGACTTGCATTTCCCTGCCGCCGGATTTGATGGAGTTTTTGGACTGGATGTTGGAATTGAATTCGCAAACGACATCGTTGCAACAAGTAACACGCGGGATATAAAATATTGTTGAGAATTAACAAAATCGGGCAAGATTCGAATTTTCATTTCAGCTACCACCGACGTTACCGTTTATAAAAGAAGATTCGCAGGAACATTTTCCACGGGACAAATACCTGTTCCAGAGTTTTCCAAGTCAACGGATAGAGACGGAGATCACTGAATTATACATAAAGATCACGGTGATACGTAAGCTCATAAAGGAGTACGGCTCTTTGTCGGAGAAGGAACAGGAGAAAGTCGAGTCGATCCACGAATATCTGGTTAACATTACGGATTGACTTTATCCACCGTTTCTTTCGCGAAATCTCGTAATCGTCAAGTTTCCGTTTCACGTTGTTTCAGGAGAAACAGCTGGATCTGTTGCTCGACTATATCGAAACGAAGGAGGAGGCCGAGAAGAAAGAGAGGCCGTTGAACGGGGAGAACGGAATGGTCAACATAAGCGAGAGCAATTTCACCATGTCGGATGGTCTTTTGCACATAAATTTGCCCAACATCTTGAAACTGAACAGCGCGGACTTGTTCCCTAATCAGGATCTACTTCGAGACAGTAAACTCGAGCGAAACTTTTGATCGACGAATAACTTGATGTAACGCGTCGTTGATCTGACGTCCACGTTTCCCGTACATTTTCAGACGACATTGGAGTTTCTTATAAAGGGAAAAGGATAATCAGAAGCGCGAACAAGCATCAAAAGCATAATAACAAGATGCAAAGAAATCGCAGAAAGCGCAAAGGGAGGCATGGTAAGCATCACAAAGATGCTATTGATCAGTCACGGCATAAAGCTGCGACACTGCGTCAAAAACGTGAATATGTGGACAATGCCTTTTGGGATCCTCACGATTCAGAGTACGAGGAACCTTTAATTTACGATTCTATGGACACGGCGAACGTGGAGTCGAGCGGGAGGAAGGGCGGCGATACGCTCAAGAAAAAGAAAAGTTTGGGGGATAATGGTGGTGAAAAGTATGTATGTGATAAGTATGTATTTGATTCCATCTACGATTCACACGACGATAGGCGCGTCGAAGCGTGTATTATTCCGTATTATATCGTATTTTTTTATACAAGTACAGTGCTGGGCCTTGGAAAAAAGAGATGACGACCGAATTGAAACGGGACAAGAGCGCGAATCGAAAAGACAATATCGAAGAAAATCCAATATCTCTTGCTAAAATCCAGTCCCAAGAACAAGGCAAGTTTAAGAAGAAGAACAGAGGTGATTATTTTCTTTCTTCGCTCGTTTCGTACTTTCTTGTCTATCTAATCTGATCTGCGTGCTTGGCCTCTTTTCCGTCAGATCTGAGGATGGAGGAAGAGGAACCGATAACGGGGAAGAACCAAGTGGAGGACGAAATACTATTGCTGAACAAACGACTAGCTTGGAAGCAAGAGAACGAGCAGCAATTGGAAGAGGTTGCTTTCGGCGAGGATATGAGGAAATCGTTGAAGGACAAAGAGTTATTCGAAAAATTGACCGAAATCGACAAGAAGAAGTACGATACATTCAAGAGGGAACACCAAAATTACAGCTCTACGAATTTAACGACGAATAGTCGAAACGGGAGAGACAATTTATCAAACGAGGACAAACTGAGGATGCTCGAAAAGAAGATAAATGTTTATGCGGACGAGAAGCAAAAAAGTAGGGCGTGAAAGAGAAAAAGTAGAGTAAGGGGGAACAAATTGACAAGTTCACCATGATCAACTACCATCATGAACTACCCCCGCGATAAATCGCAAGATAAACCGTTGAAAGAAGGGTGCAAAGTTGGAAAGACAAGGTTGGGAACGTTGCAAGGGATTATGCAATTAAATGGAGAATTAACCGAGTGCGTCGCAATGATATAACGAGTTTCGTCGTAAATCGAAAAAAGTTATTATTTTAATTCGAGAGAGAGAGAGAGACGAGAAGACTACGCAAAAGGGGAAGTATCAATCGAGGTAAAAATAACTCGTCGCAATTACAGTGATGCTGATAGCCTTAACAGTAGTAACCAACTTTAAATTTATATCGAATAATATTTAGAATAAATTTTATAGAAACACGCGTGACACGCCTCGTTCAATATTCTTTTATTTAAGCTAAAGTTTTTTTTTTTTTTTCTTTTCTCCCTTTCTCTCGACACTTTTCGTTTAATTATCACGCGCGTATATATATATATAAATAAAGCAATAACCAGTAGTTGACCAGTAGACATTTATAGGTGGAGTAATTGTATTTGCGATACAATAGTGCGAGGCTGCGTAATATCGCGGTGAACCGGGATAGGTTCGCGTCGTTGCTTGACAGCGGGCGTCTAAATAATTTCATCAGATACATCGATCGCCGATGAGCTTTATCGTAATTGACACATTCGCTCTATCTGGCCGACAGGCGAGCCTGTGAAACCTCGTAAATCGTCCTGTCGTTGCGATGAACTCGACGGCCTCTCCTCGTATGTTTGCACACGCGTACAACTCCCCCTCTATGCTAATCTATGCACGAAAACTGCTTAAAGCCCGCGATCACTATCTCCTAATTGCCCTCTAAGAATTGATGCGATTTATCGAGAATGAAATGTAATTCCGTTCCAAACTTTTACCTCATCATACATCATCGATCTTTCGACATTTTATTTATTTTTACGCGCGCGAAGAAATATTCCATCCGCGAAAAATTTAAATTATCCTTCGTATTTTACTTTAACCCTTACGTAAAACGGGTGAAAGTACGCCTCGTCCGTTTTACGTAAGACGTATTTAAGACATATTTTTAATTCGATACATCCGTAAAGGGTGTCAAAGAAAGGGAGAGGGGGAAAAAAAAAGGTGAAAACGAGGGGAGATCGATTATTTTCGTAACCCTTTCAAAGAGAGAAGAGAACTATCGCCGCATTGTTCCAAAGATTTCATAATCCGGTCGCTAGATCGACGGCGGAACTGATTAAATCTCGCGAAGAAAAAGGAAAAGGAGAAACCTCCATTGCGATTACTCCTACCTTTTCGCCTTTTCTCCCTCTTCCGTCTTCCTTGGTGGAGAAGGAAAGAGAGAGAAAAAAAAAGGTACGCGTTCTCTCGTCTCCAGAGGCACGAAATATCTGGGAAAGTTTGCTCGTAAAGTAAGTCCACGCAGCGAAATTCCCCCGGGCCAATTAAAGTCCCGAAATCGGACGCGCTCGGTTATGCAGGCAAGAAAGGGAGAAAGGGAGGAATCTAACTCCGCGGTTGGCGAACGTTATTACTTATTCGACTCAAGGATTTTAAGGGTGGCCGACACGCGGATTTATTTAGATATTCCAACGGTGAGCATCTGCTCGAGCTTCGACTGCCACTCTCGTCTGTTCCTCGCCTCTTCTTTCGACCCGCATTAATATACACAGGAGAGCCGGTGTGTCTGCGATCCCTCCCCCTCAGCTATTTTTACATAACATTAAGTTGTTCGGTGTAACCGAGTCCTCCTCCGCCGAGTCGTCCTCCAGAGGTTGGGTCATGGGTAATGGGGGTTAAAACGTAGACAGGCAGAACTACCAACGCGCGTAGACACGCATCGAGAGAAATTTTACCGATCGACTTTCACACACCTTTTCCGCTCGAACAATTTCTTTTTTAACGCGCTTTAAATTCTTCCTTTCGATTCCATCCCAACCTGTTCCTTCCTTTCCGACGCCCATTTTTTCCCCAAATTAAGACCCGAAACGAATTTATCCCGCGGATATGAAAAGTTTTAATAAAGCGCGGGAGTATTAATTTCGAGTTGGATAGGTTTTAAAGGCGACTGATACGATTTCACGGAGTGAAAGAACGGCGCGATCATAAAAAATGATGGTTCGATTTCGAGGGATGGAATAGTGGATACGTTCGTGGATACGGCGAGATAAGTACACATTGTTCGATACATTGCTCTCGAGCTGTCGTTAGCCGCGCTTAATCACGTTTTTTCGACGGCGATTCCCGCCGACGACCTCAATTTAACGGCACCACGATCGATCCACCAGGAGAGAGTCGAATGCGAATCCCTGTAGCCTCTTAATTGGAAAATGAATTCGACTACGTGTAGATTATTCGCGCCAACCCCTAGTTTCAATACCCCTCGTGCGCGTCGTTTACGCCAATTGTTTCGAGATTCTCCGCCACCGTTTCTCCGCCTTGGATCAAAACTGTGGACGACTTTTACGGTAGCGCGATTAAAGGAACATTCTCAAGGTAATTTTAATTAAACTTGGTTAAGCTTTCGACTAACCATTCTTAAAAATGAAATACAACGCGGGTAGAGATTATTCTCTTCTACTGGCGAATCGAAAAAAAAAGTGAAGTAAGAGGACGAGCAAGAAGAGAAGAAGAGTAGTAAGAGGAATAAGAGAAAAATAAAGGGAGAACGAAGGGGAGGGACGGAGTGAAAATCGTGGTGGAAAGAGAGAGGTGGGTGGTGGTCGGCCATTGGATCGGGGTCTGGCACGCACCCCCGAATGACAGATGGTATTTTCGCGTATCATGATCGCGGCTAGGATAGTTTCCTATATCGTGGAATATACAGCCCCGGCCTGGCATCGTCGACATGTCGATAGCAGGCCTCGCCGTGCGATACATCCACCGATATCCCCGTACCATGGGCATCCGCGGTCCATCCCCTTCGTTCGACCGCTAAATGGCCAAGCGGAGCCA